TAAAAACTAGGCATCATTAGAGATCAATACATAAGACTGTGAGAAATGCTCCCAATATAAAATGATAAAAAAAGGATACTGAAGTATATATACAGTACAATCTCTATTTAAAACAATTTTAAAATATATACAGTTTTTATGAAAAAGGCTAGAAGAATATCCAAAATGCTAAAAATATCTCAACAAATGATGGAATTCTTTTCTTTCTTTTATTTATCCTTATTTTCAAATCATTTATTCAAACTATTTATTTCAAATTGTATTGCTTATGTAATTTTATTAAATTATATTTTTAATATACAAAAGAAGAAGAAATTAGGCAGGCCAAAAGACTTGAGGTGCTTCTTACAGAGAACTCCAAAAACTATTAATACAAAATTCTTAAAGCACATCTGGCCTGACTGCAGGAGACTGCCAGCTAGAAAATCAGTGGAGTAACCTAATTAAAATAAAAGGTGGAGTCACAATAAAAAGCTTCCACATACAAGAGCGTCTGTAACCTGTTGCACGCAGCACGCCCAAGTCGGGCGGGGAAAACCACAGACAGCTGTCTGTTGTGCCGGGGGCAGCACTCAGGGCCCAGGGCCTGGTGACAAGCCCCGCCCAATGTCCAGGGCTGACCCGGGCAGAGCTCTTCCCGAAGCCTCTGAACAAGCCAGGTCCAGGCATGGCGAGCTCACCGAGTGATCCAGAGAGGCCCAGTCAACAGGCAGAGCAGGCTTCCCAGTTCTCCGGGACCTAGACTGAGAGCCGGTCTCACTCAAAGGGAAGACAGCGGAACCACGCTGCAATACGGGCAACCCCCCTTGCAGTCAAGAACAACCCCAGGACCGGCAGACTGACACCATATCCTCTCTCAGGAGAAGTTTCTACTCAGGGAAGATCTGGAAACTGGAAAAAAGTGAATAGAAGTTCCCATTTTTTATTACAGGGTCTACTTAGTTGCCCAGGAAATTTTACCAAACACTTGAGTAAACCTATCAACTGGGTGCGGGGGAGGGAACACCTTAACTTTGAAAGGGCCTCATCAGGCCTAATTAGCCTATCAGAATTCTTTGAGGAGGTAAAAACAGTACCATTATGGCAGAACTAGTAGCCAGAACTTCTATAGACTTTAAATGCCAAAATTCCACCAAAAAACAACAACAAAGAACTGAATTCCACAGAACTTGGGTGAATGTATGTTGTGTGTGTATGTGTGTGTGTGTGTGTGTGTGTGTGTGTGTGTGAGACTGCGTGTGTGAATGTGACTGTCATTTATTGGAAACCATGAATAGTAGAGTTTTGGGGGGTTTTCTTGTTTTTTGGTTTTTTTTAAAGATTTTATTCGTCCTTCTTCTCCCCAAAGCCCCCTGGAACATAGTTGTGTGTTTTAGTTGTGAGTCCTTCTAGTTGTGGCATGTGGGACGCCACCTCAAGGTGGCCTGATGAGCAGTGCCATGTCCACACCCAGGGTTCGAACCAGTGAAACCCTGGGCTGCTGAAACGGAGCACGTGAACTTAACCACTTGGCCACCAGGCCAGCCTGTTTTTGGTTTTTTTGCTTGAGGAAGATTCGTCCTGAGCTAACATCTGTGCCAATCTTCCTCTATTTTATATGTGGGTTGCTGCCATAGCGTGGCCACCACCAAGTGGTATAGGTCTGCGCCCTGGAACCAAACCCAGGCTGCTGAAGCAGAGTGCACCAAACTTAACCCCTGGGCCGCAGGGCTGGCCCAACAGCAGAGTTTTTAACACACTGATCATTTCTGGACTGGAGCTTAATGCTTTCATAAATTACCTAGAATGGCAGTTCCCAACCCACAGGGGATCCAACTTCATATCCACATGTGTTCCCAGTGACCAGCCATTAAAAATACCACTACTGGTCTATACAGAAATTAGTATATAATAATGTACACCTGAAATTACACAATGTTATAAGCCAATATAACCTCAAAAAAATAATTAAATTTTTAAAAAGGGAAAAAATACCACTACTGAATGAGGAAGGCCCATGAAAAGTATTAATTCAAAAAGGAGGTCTCACACTCAAACTGCTTCAGGAGCCAGTGATCCAGCAGAACAATAGGCTGTAAGCTTATGAGGGAAGAGGCTTATGCGTCTCGTTCATCACTGCACTCTCCATTAGGTACTCAATAAATATTTGTTGAAGCAATAAACTGAAACCTTCAAGACTGCAAATGGCCTTAAAGCTGTTCCAGAAATCAAAATGAGGAATTAAAAGACAAGTTCTCAGGAGGCTGCATCAACAGGCGAAATTACAGCAAAGGAGCATCAGTGAAGGCAAATGTGAAGGAACGTTCAGGGAAAAGCAATTCCAATTACACTTTTAGAATAATGGGTTCTAAGCCCAACCGTACAACAAAGAGGCCTCAGCTTAGACTGTCCCCTTAAGGCACCACATTGTATGTTTCATTAGAAAAGGTTCAGAAAACACTGGGCACTGCCAGAAAGGACACTGAAAACAAAATAAAACTTGTGATCCCGCCCATATTCAAAACCACTCAGTGTGTGCACAGCTAGATGTGCTGCAGAACTTAAGAAAGACATACCAGCGCTGGAGGAGGTCCTGAGGGACAAGACTGAAGTTATAAAGTAGATAGAAGGGCTTTCTAATGAGAGCCTAAAAATTAGAACTCTATTTTATTCTGAAGAGACGAAGGCTTAGGGGAAAGAGAGAGCATGATTGGAGTACAGGTTTGTTCATCAAACCTCAAAATACTAGAGCGGACAGGGCAGCATTTTGAAGTTTGAAATAAAAGACGTAGACAAACAAAAGATGACTTCATCCATTAGTCAGAAAATATACTGAAGATGTTAGAGGTAAAATATATAAATATACTAATGTCCACATTTATTCAAATCTACAAATTTAAAAGACGCTCTGAGGAACTAAGAACCAGGAATTGTTACTCAATCCATGAGCTTTCTTTCTCTCAGAGTGAAAATCTTTGAATTTCAAATAACATTAAACTTAGTCATGTGTTTTTCCTAACAATGTTAAGTTCAGTAAAGGCAGATTAATAAAAGCTAAGTAACAGGACATCAAAGGGGCAGAGGCACTCACAAGCATTAAGAAAAATCTGACCTCTATTCAGTATATTCTGTTTAATGAGGCAAGAAAGCAAATAACATGTTACAGATTTATAAAACGAAAGTGAAGGCAGCATGACTTAAGGAACACTGGACTATGAGACCACAAAACTAAGCTTCCTTGTATTTGCCATTGTTTGTTGGACAAGGATTAGAAGGAAGCATGTGGAGTGAGTACATTTTACAACCTGTGGGTGAATTCTTCACCTGCTCCCCCACATGACTGAATATGGCTTACATATTGATATTATTGTTACAACGGTTAAGAGTTTAAAAATAGGTAAATGAAAGTTACCCTCAGCTTTCTATTTTAGAAAAAGGAGCATCCCAGGGGACAAGAGAGCAAAGAATAACTCAAGCTGTGTGTGTGTGTGTGTGAGAGAGAGACGGAGACAGAGAGACAGAGAATTACTGAGCAGAAGCTCAGACCAGAAGAAACGACATGAGTTGGTTGCCAGGTAGGGAAACTTCTCCTTCTGGACCAGGAGTGGGAGGTAGGCAAGAGGAAAGAGAATTAGTAAGCAAGCCTGAAAGTCAGCTGCTCCTCCCGTGACCTGCAGGAGCTTTAGTCTGGACTCTGCCTAAAATATCAGTCAGAGAGAGAGACACTGCTTCCATGGGTGGCAGAGAAAGAAGCTCAGTGAAACTTTAGCTGGATCGAAGGAAACAGGAAAGAAAAAAAAAAAAAGTCGCACATTTCTGGTCCCAGACTGAAGCCCCAGACTCGGAATGGTGGAGCTAAAAGACTAAGAAATTGCGAACCACAAGCACTGGCTTTCATGCCTAGGTTGCCACCAGCTACCCACGTGAAGACCTTGGGCAGGAGGACTCAAGTCCTTGGACAGGCGAGGCTGCAATGGCTGGGCCAATTAATCCAGAGCTATTGGATTGCTACGTAAAACTTAACTCCCAGCATGGAAAAGTAGACTCCCTACCATGTGCACATCGCTGCCCTCCTGAATACGCATCTGAGGTCTGCTTACAGGTCTACGGGACCACAAGTCACAGATGTTCTGAGTCATCTCAGTGGCCAGTGTTTCATTCCATGAGGCACCTGGTATTCTAATCATTAGCAAAAAACAGCCCAAAGAGATTCGCAGCAGTTTAAAGAAAGCAGGTGCCCCAAGGGACCCAGACGGAACAACAAAGCTTTTCACTTGTCTTTTCCTCCGTCCAGCCATAGCCCCTCCAAGGCACACTTTTGTTTGCCATGACGGTTGCTGAAAAACATGTACCTGATCACAGAGACGCCCCTGTTCAAAATCCCCATCATCTTCAGGATAGACCTCAAATTCCTCGCTTAGAATGGAGGATCCCCTCCCATCTGGTCTCTGCCCACCTCTCCAGCCACTTCCCAGAGTCCCTTTCATTCACTGCTGGTTCTCCCAGACCTCCTCATGCTGCTGTGTCAGGGCCTGAGCTGTCCCCTGACTAGAGAACACCTGATGCCCCCCACTCAGGCACCAAACACAGACCTGCCTGAGAACTCCTCACCCCCAGGTACTGCTCCAGGTCCCCTCCTTGGGGATGCTTTCTCTGAGCGCTGCAACACCGGTCCTCTGCCCCCCTCCACCATTTTCTCCTGACACCTGGGCCTGCCTGCTGCTACGGCAGCACTTCCCACAGCAGGCGGAGACCACGCGCTCTCTCATCAGTCTGTGAGCCCCTCCAAAGTTGGGGTCATGTCCTTTACCTCTGTTTCCAGGACCTAGTGCACCGGCTCCCAGTGGCAAGTGCGCCACCACCACTCCCACCCCTCCCAGAACCATTCCTCAACGCTTCTCCAAAGCCTGGTAATGCCCCTGCCTGCCCGGCCCACAGCGCCCTCCACACCCTTCCACCCCAGCCAAAAATCCCATTTCCCAAGAACAGAATTACACTGCAAACATTCTAACAAGACTCACAGGATGTCAGAGCTGAAGGGGACCTCAGAAATGATCTGGTCCAGTGGCTTCCAAACGCCCGTCTGCAGACTGCTCGACTGCCTGCAAAAGAACAGCATGGGGAGTGACTCAAAACACAGCCACCCAGGCTCCCACCAGGAAAATTCTGGTTCAATACATCCAGGATGGATCCCTGCATTTTTTTTAAAGCTTCCCAGTTGATTCCCTGCAATGGTCTAGGCCACCTCTTCATTCGACAAGTGGAGAACTGAGGCTCCGAAAGAAGTTCATTCATCAAACACTGACCAAACACCAAGGCTTGTGCCTGGCACGGAGGAAAACAGGAAGGCCCAGACCTTGCTCCTGAGTGTCCCCACACACCACCCACTGCAAACACCCGCAGCCACCCCTCTGTGGGTGCCACTGAAGGCTCATCAAGGGCACGGGATTCCCAGAGGCAAGGACAGGAGCAGGGCTTTCTCTGCCCACCCCCATCAGAAGTCAACGCACAACTCCCAATGCTCCCTCATTTCGCTTCTTCCTCCTCATGGCATAATGCTCTACATTCACCACAGCTATTTCAGCAAAAGGCTCTCCCTTCTGCTATTTCCTGAGCTTTCGATAGGCACTCACCAAATGATTAACTGGTACCCCTTTACTTCTGGACTTGGACAGGCATCTCAAACCCAATTACATCCAAACTCTGACTCCTGATTTCCTCCCACAGTCTTCCTCATTTCAGTGAATGACAACTCCGCCCTCCATGTTGCGCAGCCAGATTTTGGCATCCCTGAGTCCTCTCCTTCCTTCATATCCTTCGTCTAATCCATAAGTAAATCCTGTGAATCTACCCTCAAAATAAACCTAAATCCAACCATTTCTTACCATCTCCAACCATCGTCATCTGTCTCTCCTGGAGTCCCACAAAGGACTGGTCTCCTTGCTTCCACCCTGGCCTCTACTCTTCAACCTCAACACAGCAACACAGCAGCCAGGTGCGCTTTTTTTTTTTTTTTTTAAGGAATATTAGCCCTGAGCTAACATCTGCCGCCAATCCTCCTCTTTCTGCTGAGGAAGACTGGCCCTGAGCTAACATCCGTGCCCATTTTCCTCTACTTTATATGTGGGACGCCTACCACAGCATGGCTTGACAAGCGGTGCCACGTCCACACCCGGGTCCAAACCAGCGAACCACTGTATCCCAGGCCGCCGAAGCAGAACATGCGCGCTTAACCACTGCGTCACCGGGCCGGCCCCAGGTGCTGCTTTTAAAACATCCATCAGATCTTGTTCCTCCTCTCCTCAAAGCGTTCCAACACCAGCCCATCCCACACAGTGTAAAACCGAGTCTCTACCAAGGCCTGCCTGGCGAAGACTGCCTCCGTCTCCCACACCCGTCCCCGTGGCCAGCCTGCTCCAGGCGCACCCACACCGCCTCACTGCTCCTCGAGCATGCGGGGCACACTCCTGCTCTGAACCTTGGCATTTACTGTTCCCTCTGCTTGGAACGCTCTTCCCCTCAGATCCCTGTGGGCTCACTCTTCGCTTCCTTCATGCCTTTAGTCAAACATGACTTTGTCAGGAGCCTTCTATGATCATTGTATGTAAGACACCAATCGCTGCCCTCACCATCCATCTCTGTCCCTTTACTCTGCTTTATTTTTCTTCACAACCCTTACTACCACCTGACACAGTATATAATTGCTCGTTTCTTTACTGTCGGTTTATACGCCCCAGCATGTTTACTGGAAGGTAATTTGCCACTGGAAAGGAGGAATGATTTGATAGCTCATCTGTCCAGAACTAAGACTAATCAAGGACAGTCACAGATTCCCAAGCACGTTTATTAACAACAAAGCAGCTGGCAAATTTGCACCGTTATTTGTGTTTACCTTTTTTTTTTAACTTTTTATAAATAGAGAGGCCTTGAGTGGTGATGGAACCTTGCCAGTGGGAAGGGGTCTACCTGAAGTAGCACTTGTCTGTGAATCCTAGGCCCATGCAGGGCTGCTTAAGTTAAATATGTTACCAGTGGAAAGTGCCTACTGGCACTGTCCTCATAATAAAGTCTTCTGTCTTGAAGACGGGATCAGTGCAGCATCAGTGGAGAGAGGTGGCTCTAAGAACCACAGGGAAGAGACGGGCACAGGGGAGTCTGGAGTCTTAAGAAAAGGCGATACAGCCTGGCAAATATGCGAAAAAACATAGAATTATGCACTTTAAATGTGTGAATTGTATGTCGTGAATTATATCTCAATAAAGCTGTTATATTTTTTAAAAGCTAGGAAGAGAGAAAGGGGGCTGGAACTGGAAGGAGGAGACATTCTGCAGGACTGTGCAGCGGACTGAGATAATAGAAGAGGAAACTAGGTACAGGCAACAAAGTCTAAACAGGCTGAGAACTGAGATAGAAACTGATATTTTGTAACCTGTACCCCCTCTGCCTTTCATTACTTGCAGACATCTCAGCACTAACTGGGAACCGCACTTTGTCAGAAGGAAACAGGACCCAGAGACTGAGAAAAAACGCAGGAAGGGTTCCTCTTGTTCACACACCATCCTCGAGGAGGCCCTCCCACCAAACTGTGTAAAAGCATCGTAGTAAAGCAAGGTAGTAGAGATCCCCAAATTTAAGGAATAAGCCAGCAGCCTCAGACCTGCTGGGAACCAAGCCTCTAGTCCCTGAATAAAAGGGCCCCAGAAAAGAAAAAGCAGCTGTTCCACAAAGTCACTCTTTCCCTGTCTCTGGTACCCCTGTATTTGTGGCTCTGAGTGTGCCACCAGTCTCATCCATCACAGGAGAACTGTAGCACAAAGATGCCAAAATTGAAAGGTTTGCGGGGGCACAGGGGGACAGGGGATGAGGACACACGGACATAAGGGATATGCTTTTAGTCTTGAAGTATCTCTGTGGTCTCCTTAGATCACTAAGGAGTTTAGGAGCTGATGAGTCAAAGGCCTGGTAAAGAGTTTCTCTCCCAGGTGCTCTGCTCTCTCACTTCCTTTCTCTCTCTCTCACACACACCTACACACACACACCCCCCTACACACATGCTCTTCTCCTTTCCCATCCCTCTCCCTCTCACTATTCCTTCCTTCCTTACCCACTCCCTGTTCTCTCCTTCCCCTCTCAACAGAGATCGGGGTGGGTTCCTTCATCACGGCTCAGACCTAAGGACTGTCACCTTCTACAGGAAAGCAGGGCCCCAGCCAAGACAGCTTTTCACCAACCACCCAGTAAGGCAATGGATCCAACATCCAGGTGTCCACACGTGTGCGCACTGTATATGTCCCTGGTGATCCAAGGGAAGGAGGAATAATGTGTCAGGAGCATCTCTATGTGCCCTCCCATCACCAGACAAAATGGATTATTAAAAGTCTTTATCTTTTTAAGACACATGGTGAAACATTTACAGATAAAATGATGTGATGTCTGGGATTTGCCTCAAAATACCACAGGGCAGCAGGAAGAGAGCAGGGAGGGCGTATATAAGCGAAACAAGATTGGCCATGAATTGATAACTGCTGGAGCTGGGTAAGGAGTACATGGAGGTTTATCATATTATTTCCTCTACATTTGTACATTTCAGGACAATAGGGACCGGACCCTTGGTTAGTGGACTCCACGGATCCAACTAGATTGCCACCAAGGTCACACTCATTAGGAACGCTATTATCAAAAAAAAAAAAAAAAAAACAAGAAGAAGAAGAAAAGAACAGGGTTGGTGAGGATGTAGAGAAAGTGGAATCCTTGGCCGTTGCTGGTGAGAATGTAAAATGGTGTAGCCACTATGGAAAACAGTATGGCAGTTCCCCCCAGAAAAAATTAAACATAGAATTACTATATGATCCAGCAATTCCGTTTCTGGGCATAGACCCAAAAGAAAGGAAAGCAGGGTCTTGGAGAGGTACTTGTACACCCATGTTCACAGCAGCATTGTTCACAATACCCAAAAGGTGGAAGCAATCCAAGTGTCTATCAATGGAGGAATGGATAACAAAATGTGATACAAACGTGCAATGGAATATTATTCAGCCTTAAAAAGGAATGAAGTTCTGACACAGGCTACAACATAAATGAACCTTGAAGACATTATGCTAAGTGAAATAAGCAAGATACAAAAGGGCAAATGGTGTATGATTCCACTGATATGCAGCACCTGGAGCAGTCAAATTCAGAGAGACAGAAAGCGGAACAGTGGTCACCAGGGGCCAGGGGAGGAAGGATGGGGAGTTACTATTCAATGGGGAGAGAGTTTCAGTTCGGAGAAAGAAAAGGTTCTGGAGATGGATGGTGGTGACAGTGGTACTGAATAGTACATTCACAAATGGTTAAAATGGTCAATTTTGCTATGTATATTTTACCACAATTTAAAAATAAATAACTACCAGGGAACATAAAAAAATCAGTCGCGTCCAAACTCTTGGTTCCTCAAGGGCAGCTCAGGTCAGCCTAGACATCATACCTCAATGAGGTTCTCAAAACAAGGGTGTGGTGAGCGTGGCTGGGGGTGTGGAGCTGTGGAGAAAGGAACCACTTCTCCCTAGGCACATGGTCTAGTTTCCAAACACCACCTAAAGAGAGAAGAAAAGAAAATCATTTTTAATAGGCCTGAAGGTAAATGTTAAAGATAATAATAATAATAAGCAGATAGGTCAGATCCTGAGAAAAATCTCTAAACATAAATTCAAAGCAGGCCCCACATAGTCAAAGATAGAAATTCCCCAGCTCCAACCCTTCTCCCCGCCCCCATCACACGTGACAGTTCAGAGCACAGACTCTGCTGGGTTCAAACCCCTGTTCCACCCCTCACTAGACCTTGTGACTCTGGGCAGTTTCTTCACCTCTCTGGCTCGGGTTTCCCATCTGTAAAATGGGGCTGTTACAGGGATTAAACGAGTTCCCATTTGTAAAGCTCTTACAGCACTGTCTTAAACAGCACGAAGGCAGATCTCTGCTTACTTTGTTCCTTATTATATTTCCAGTGCCTAGAATAGTGCCTGGCACATAGCAGGCACTCAAATATTTATTCTAGGAATGAATGCATCTGAAATGTCAATCTCAAAACGTAACTTGTACCAAAAGATGAAAAAGAAGCAGATTATACCAAAATCACTTCGCTGATCTCATCTTGGCAAAAGTCTTTTTAAAAAACAGGCTAGAAGCCTAATGAAACAGAAACCATTTAGAAATAAGTATTTCCAGTCAATTAATCCAATCTAAGTGGGTCTGTGAGTCAAAGACAATTTGTTCTGAGAAATAGACAATACTGTGGAGACAGAAAATGAAGTTGAAAGGTGATGGAACAAACGGATTTCAGATACCGTCCTGGTATACGTGTAGGTTCAGAAGAAAACCCGAGAGCACTGACAGCCACTCTGGGAAGGTGACGGTTTTGGGCAGACCAGGAGGAAGAGACAGGCTCCTGTCCCCGGTTGTGTCTGTGAGTTGTAGGCCTAGTGCAGGATACGCCGGCGCCCCACTACAGACCCCCCAACCTGATGAACCTCAGGGCTCTCCCTCTCCCTTTCTCCCACTTATACCACCTGCTTCCAAAACTCACTCGAAGCCACCGACAATACTTTAAGCTCTACCAAGTTGGGAGCACTGGAAACCTTTGTTAAGGCAGCCGCACAGCAGCTGGGGAGCACCCTGTCATTGCCAAGTCTCACTGACATCATCTCTTCTATTCCATGTCTCCACCCCATCCTTGCCACATCTTTGCTCCCCACCTGTGGTCTCCCGCTATTATCATCCTGTATGTCTCCCCAAATAACACTTCCTCACCCTGTTCACAAACCTAAAAATAGCCTCCTATAACCTACCCTATCAGCTCCAGCCCTCAGGCCAGGCTTTTGAGAAGCTCCATAATGGAGGCCTAGACCAAGTCCACTGATTTTATATTTCAGCAGCTGCTTCTTCACCTGCCTCAAAGCACCAAATCACTGCCTTCGCCTTCAACAGCATCAGTAAGAGAAGAGATTGTACAGACTGGAACAGACTAGACCACATCTCCAGCCTCCATTCCCGCCAAGAGCATCCTCACTCTCTACATCATCCACATCCATTCTCTCCCCCTCCAGCTTCTAGGAACATGGTCCTTTCCCATTCCATTTCCACAACACACACACACTACACACATGCATGCACGTGCATTCATTCATTAGATAATATTAACTGAGCACCTACTATGTGCCAGGCCTTGTTCTAGTCACTGGTGGATACCACCTGTGAACAGAATAGATTAAGTCCCTGCCCACGTGGTGCTGACATTCCACCAGGAGACAGACAGACACAAACAAGCAGATTCATAGTATGTCAGGCAGTCTTTCAGTGGAGGAACCCCTGTTCCTCAGAACGGAAATTGGAGTGACCACATTCTCAATTCTGAAGCAAATGAGAGAGCAAGCCATGTGAATATGGGAGAGAAGAGGTTTTAGGCAGAGCGAAGAACAAGTAGAAAGGCCCTTAGCCAGGAAAGTGCTTGGTGCATTCAAGGAACCCGAACCAGAGCGGAGGGAGTCACAGGAGACAGGGGTGGGAGGTGGAGAACGGAGGGCCACTGCAAGGACTGACTTCAGCTCTCAGATGGAAGGCTAAGGAAGGACTTGGGGTAGAGGAGTGGTATGCTGACTTACATTGTAAAAAGATCTCGTCCCTCTGCCTGTACATTTCAGCTATCTATCATTAGGTAATAAAATTAAGAAGAATTTGTTTTCTTCTTGAATGTTCCAAAATTTTCTAAACCAAGCATATATTACTTTTTAAATGAAGGAAAAAACAATCTTCCAACCCTTTAAGTCTAAATTCCCCACTCAGTGCAAATTCCACATGGGCCTCAAAGCCCCCTGTACCAGCGCTAGGTCATGCTGTATCTGACACCCCAGCCAGCAAGACCACCAGGTGGCCCCAGAGTTAGCAGTACCCACCTGCAGCAACTAATGTGCGTGAAAGTTCCTTTCACTGCCCTCACTTCTCTCCTGCCCTGCAGGAGTGTGTCCCCTTGGACATTCTTGGCCCCAAGTGCCTGTCTGGGTCCCAGTCTTTCTCTCAGTTGACTTAATTAATTCCTGGTAATTAGAGCTACTGTTTGGTGATGAACTGCTAAGAGTCTGACCTCTCCCAGGGGGTGTAAATATTTTAAAAGGGGACTCTAAGTAGAAATGCAAAAGCCTTAGACTCAGAGGAATGGAGCTACAATGGTGGAATGATAGGCGTTGGGGTTCATATTTTGTGGGTAGGTGGCTATCTTCTCCTAAAGAGCACAGGTGCTTAGAGACACAGTGTCAAGGAGAGACAAGTGAAGCAATGAAAGATGATACAACATTGTTGCCACCACCTCCCTCCTCCCAAATGGCCATTCAATCCATTTTGGGTAGCAGAGAATGTTCCCCAGAGGTAAGCCCAGCCATCTCAGAGGGCTGACCTGTGAGAAAGTAACCACCACCCCCAGGAAGAAAAGCCCCCTTAAGACCCTTCTGGTGTGGAAGCAAACTGTTCTCTAATTGCTTTCAGTGGGGGGAGTCCTTGACGGCAAAGTTCATCTCATGTGACTCTTTTATACTCCACAGAGCACCCAGCTCTGGGTTGGGGCCCAGGTTGGGCCTTTCATAAGCAACTGTAGATTACTGATCAATGATGCCCAGTTGCAAAAAGGCTCCACAGGATTTTACATACAAGTAAACATTCTAATTAAGAATAATAATAGTATTAATCACACATCTGATATTTGTAAGGGCCTAAAGATTTATAGCCTTAATGAAGTTTCAGACAATAAAGCAGTTTTTACAACCTCAGCCAGTTCAGTTCAGGTCTGGAGAGTCTAACAAGGCAAAGGCAGGGCCCTTGCCCACACAGACCTGAGCCTCAGCTGGGCCAAGCCCCAGAAGAGTCTGAACAGCTGCTCGCTGCCCACCCTGGGCTCCCTTCTCCTCTGAAAATGCCAAAGCTCTGCCTCAGATGTGTTTTCAGGCCCTGGAATAGTCTGAGAAGCCTTCATTTACAATGGACATCTACTTTCAAGACCTCTCTCTCTCTGGTCTCACTCTGCCCTTTGGCTTGCTAAGGAAAAACTTCAACTTCAGGAACTGAATTGGCAGATAGGAGTAGAATGCTGTAAACTGCAGCAAACCAGGGGAACAAAAGCAGAGCCAGAGCCCACTCCACTGGCTCACGTTCAGCTCCAGCCTGCCAAGGGCAGTGTGGGTAAAATGGTCCTATGCCCAAGGACTGGATGGATATGAGGAAGAAGTACCCCCCAGCCTCCCCACCAGGATGGGCTGAGTTCTCAGAGGGAGGGAAATTCCAGGAAGGCATATGAGGCTTACACACAGGAACCCCTCTCTTTACAGTCCTGTGACCCCCAGCTTGTAACACCAAGGCCTCTAGAACATCCCCCACGTTGACGTGCAGGAGACTGAGTCTATGCAAGAAGGCCCAGGACCTCACCCAAAAGAAGTGATTTCCTTAGAAACACCCTAAAGAAAACACCCAACAAATGAGGCTACAAGCCAAGTCACACTCTACTCATCAGCTCCTCCCGGATGGGTGCAGCCCTGGCTCTCTCCGGAACATCTCAGTCAGAGGTCCTAGCCTAATTCACCTGTCTGGGAGAGCCATCTCTACAGCACATCTAACAAAGGCATCTTCCCCTCCCTGACCAAGGAGGGGTGGCCGGCTCTTCTATAGGGACATAGTTCTGGGAAGTTTGCACTTTTGCTTGAGGGCATTCAAGGTTTATCTCCAAAATGAAAACAGATTTACCAGTTGTTTGCTTTTGTAAAGATGATATATAAGCCAAAAGAGAATTCAAAGGATAGGGAAAAATATAAAGAAAAAAGTGAAAACCACCCAATCTCACCACTGAGAGGTAAGCAGAGCTTACAGCAAACTGCTCTGCAGAGTGAGCCTGTCCTGAGATAGACCTGGGGCGTAGGTCTTGCTTCTCAGGATAAGCCTGTGGATTTAGTTTTGCAGAAGACCATGAACGCCACCTCTGGCCTACTCAAAAGTTTTCAGGAGGCCCCGATAATTCTGGAGCTCTCACAAACAGACACGACACAGTCACAGAGACCCCTGTGTGTGCCCCACACACACTGCTTCGAGGCCAGGAGTCAGTGTGTTCCACAGGCAGCCCCCTCTTTCTCACTCCACACTGTGGCAGTCTTTCCACAATGGATCACATAGAAAGACGTCAGCATCCTCGTCATCTTGCGGAGTGTGTTAACGAAAGGAAGGGGGCCACCGTTACCTCTTGACAGAACACCTTCAGAATCTGAAACGGAGAAGGGAAAGGACTTAGCCAAAGTCACACAGTGAACAGAGGACAGCCCAAGAGTGTTGATGGGTTTGACACCAAACCCGAGCGGTGTTCATTAACTTCTCTTTGAGCCATAAAAAGAATCAGACATGTCATTTCAACACACACATACACACTTCCTGCTGTCGAATAAAAGCAAATAGTTGGGTGAAGTGGCACCTGAGCCCCTAAAAACATTTCTAAAACTTAATTAGCTAAAGGGTATCGCACTCTGTGCCCCTAGAGCAGGAAGGGGGAGAACACTGGCGCAGATGCCCACAAATGGAAACAGATACGAATTTGGGGTACATTTCAGAGGTCAACACTCAGAACTCTCTCCTATTCAGGATGTTCCTATTTTTGTAGGAAAAGAAAAAATTAAACTTACATGTAGAGACAGAGCTGGAGATAAAGGTCTAATACAAACATGAAATATTAAAATGCTGACAGTAGGTCTAGGTTATAGGATGTATCAGTTAGTTTTATTTCCTTCATGTACCTATCTGCATTTCCTAAATTTTCTACACGAATATTCTCGTGTAATTATTTTTAGAGTTTTAAAAGAAAAATAATTAATCCACAATCTAGGTTGGTCTATTTGGATTTTATTTTTCACTGTAGAAAAATACAGATTCAGAACTCCACTCTTCTCAGTTTTGCCGAAGCAGAAAGAAGTGCTAAGATGAAGCTCAAATCTCACGAAGATTCCAATCTACTAAGAAAGCTCACCATGCCCAGGCTGAGTAAAGGGCAGGAACTATTACTTTCTTCTCTGTCTCCAAAGTGTAGGGAAGATGAAAATGTTAAACCAATCACCCCTTCAAGTGCAACCAAAACCCCCCCACCCCCTCCAAGAGTCCACAAACCTCTACTCCCAGAACAATTCCCAATGCATCTGTCCACAAGCACCGCTCAGCCACAAAATTACCTACCCCACATAAAATCCCTACGCCTTCTCCGGTAACCCAACTCTAGGGAAGCCCCTTTTCCAATATTTTATTTCTAAAAAAGTTATTTCTCCTCTTCCTTAAGTTTTACAAACACAGGATCCCACCCAAATGACACAGAATCATTCAATCAATTAAAAATCATTGTTGACTACACTGTATAAAGCTTGGGGAAAGATTATGTTAACAGTAAGGGTTAATTTTCATGGAGCCTGAGAAAGACAAACAGGAATTGAGGAGCAAGAATTTGTCAGTGTGTCCCAGTCCTGGCCAGAAGGGGGGTGGGGGGGGGGGGAGCAATGGCCAGAGGACAGAAACATCTGTCACTCCGCCGTTTCGTTTCTCATGGCCAGTTAATACTCTGAGTTTGTGCATCAGTCTCTTCCAAGTTTGGTTAATGAGTCAGTCTCCCTGGACACAACCAGCTGAGTGCCCCACAAAACTGGATTTCGGGTCTGTGAAACTGAGAGCTAGATGCTGAGGCACAGGGATCTCGTCAGAAAAGCCCCCCCAGGATGGTCTCTGTCTCCACTCTCTAACTGCGACACCCACAGTGGTGGAATGTGTTTGATGTACTTAACACTCTCTGATAGCTCCCTGTGGCTTATAGAATAAAACCCAAACTGGACCTGCCTTTTGCAGCTCCAACTCAGCTTTCCAGTCTCATCACGGGACAAACCAAGCCTCTCACAGCTCCTCGCTTTCACACGTAGCTCTCTCTACCTAGAACGTCCTTTCCCCAGTCTTACTTGTGTATAAAACTCCTATTCTTCCTCCAAAGCCCAGTACAAAAGTCACCTCCACCCCAAGTCTTCCCCACTTCCCTCAGCATTTAGTTCTTCTCGCTCCCAACAGCTCTCTTAACTACAGGTGCATTACAGAACTCATGAAGTACATTGTAGCTCATCCTTTTAAATATATGACCTCCTCTGGAGACCCTGAGGTTCTGGAGGGAAGGAATTCACTTTATATCCATAAGTCCTAGCACAGCGTCGAGAATGAAATGGGAAATCAATGTCGAATGATTGATCACACGAAACATTGGCATTAAGTCGTTTAGAGGAAAACGGAGGGTGAAAGAGTCTCACAAAATTCAAGACTTAAATTACCTATATATTTATTCTCATCCAAAATGACCACAGTATGGCTGAGAGACAGCACGGATATTTAAAAATTTTACGTACTAACAGCAACTAACATCAGAGCTCAGTGCTACAAATGTTTACATGGCTTAGTTAATTTGATCCGCACAAAAACCGTTTTATCTGTATTTATCAAACCCTGTGAGGCAGATAATTTTATCTGCATTTAAGCTGGGAAAAGCTTGAGGTTTTTCCAGACAGGAAACTGAGGCACAAGAGGTTAAGTAACTCAAAACCATTTCGTTAGCAAGTGGCAGAAGCAAGATACAAACTCCAGGAGTCTGGCTCCAGAGCCAGTGGGCTCTGGAATTAGGAAGACCCGGGTCTGAATACCGATTATGACACAAATGTAGCTTTGGGTTAAGTCCCCTGTCCCCTCTGGGCTTGCATCTGCAAAGGGCAAGACATCCCTTTCTCTTCGCATGCAGAGAGGATTAAGTTAAATATGATAATATTTGCAGAAGTCTCTAACACTGATTCTCGCACCTAGCAGGCACTCAATAATGCAAATTCATTTTCCTTTCCCTTCCTAAAAGCTGGGCAAAACAGACCCTTGGAGCAAAAGGATCTCCCCCAGATGGCTTGAGGCTTTCCAGGCAGATCAGGTATGTAGTTAGGCCTCTCCACACAGAAAGCCTTGCCTCACCTGCTTACCTCAAAGACCGGTCCCCAAACAGAGGCCAGAGATCTTTTAAAACGTAAATGTCATCATGTCACTGGCTTAAAACCCTTGAAAGCTTCCTAATTACAATCCAAATGAAGGGGGAAAGGCATTCTGTCCCCAAGGCCTCCCGTGACCTGACCCACCTCTCCACAGACTTATCTCCCTTCTCCCTTTCCCCCTCCAGCCACACGGGCCTCCTTTCACTTCCTCCAACTTGCCAAGCTCTGCGCTGCTCCACACATGGTTAACTCTTAACCCTCCTTCGGGTCTCAGTCGAAACGTCACTTCCTCCGGGAAGCCTTCCCTGTGCCCCCAACCCAAATCAAGTCCCATTACTCTCTCTCACCACGCTCTTCATCTTTCTTTCCTTGCACTCATCACAGCTCAAAATGATTTATTTACCACTTCCTTCAAAGTTTTACTCAAGAGACACCTTCTTAGGAGGCCTTCCAGGCCACTGGAATGTAAAGTCATCCCCCACCTGATATCTCATATTCTCCTTCCCTATTTTCTTTTTCTCCTTGGCATTTAGCACTTTTCAACAGACTATAGTTTGTATTATATATTTTATTTTATTGTCTTCCCCCCCCCCCACTAGAATGAAAGCTCCAAAACGGCAGTTACTTTTGCTTGCTTTCTTCACAGCATCTAAAATAATGCCTGGTACATATTTGTTGCTGAATGAAATTTCAAGATTAGTTGTTTATTATTGGGCTTTCCCACTAGGCTATGAGCTCAAGTTGAAACATGACTTTCTGGTTTACCACTCTCCTCCCAACACCGAGTGCAGGACCTGGTGCATAATAAGTGCTCAATAAAAATGTACTGGGCGGATCAAAGCCGCAACCAGTGGAAAAATTGGAAAACGGTCACAATATGTGTGTTGGCACCATGCTTGCTCCTCTCCTTCACTGTGTAAGGTGCCTGTGAGTTTGAGGAAACAGATCCCTAACATCCCACCAAGCACCCACCGGGCCAGGATCTGCGTGTCCACATCCTGTATGCTCAGTCACACTGTACACATCAACAGATGGGTCCTACAGTCCCTACAGGGACACGGAGCTGAAGGTGACAGGGCTAATCCCAGGCCAAAGACCACCTTATCCCAAGTCCCATTCTCCTACAGCCACTCCTAGTCTAGGCTACTCCCGGGTGCCAGACATGCTTCCCTTGATGGGGGAAGGGGAGCCTGTGGATTTATTCCAGTCCAGGACTTTTCATGCCACCTCTGGCCTACCCCAAAAAACAATAGTTAAAAATCCCCCGAGCAGCTCCAATGACCCGGGGTGGGGGCTGGGGGTGGGGGGGTTCTCAGGAGCAGGCAGACCTCAGGTCGCACGGACCCCTCCCCCTCACCCACGCTGAGCCAAGGCCAGGAGGCCATCTGTCCAGCAGACGTTCCCCTGTCCTCCCTCGGGTCACATTGAGCCTTCCCCCCAGGTTGGCAGGAAGAGCCGCTGCAGAGAGGCAGTTCCCACTCGGATCAACAGGCCGGGTCGCCCCCCGAAGACCCCCAACTCTGGGGCAGGGATACCTGTCTGCCCCCGGAGAACCCTCCCGCGAGGTCACAACTCGGGCGGAGGTGGGGGAGGCGCCGAGGGGCGCCGCGAAGGGCCGGGCCCCGAAGTGTCCGCCCCCGGCTGCGCGGCTCCCGGCGGCGGCGGGCACGGGTGGCTGACAGGCGTCCCGGCGGCCGAGGCGGCACCGTTATCCGCGCAGGGCCGGGCCGGGCCGGGCCGGGGGGCCGCGGCGGAGGGGGGCGCGCGCCGGGCGGTGGGGGCGGCGACAGGGGCCGGCGGCGCGCGCCGGGGGCGGGGTGGGGTGGCGGCCCGGGCCCGCCAGGCGGCGGTCGGGGAAGTGGCTGCCGCCCCGGGCGCGGAGGGGGCCGCCCGGCTGCAGGGCCCGGCCGGGGCGCGGGCACGGGCGCGGCGCCGGCTCGCGGGCCCGCTCGGCCCGGGGCGGCCTCGGCGGCGGCCCGGCCCGCGAGAGGCGCTTACCTGGCGGCGGCGGCGGCGGCGGCAGGCCCCGGGCTCGGCCGCGCGCGTCCCCAGCGCCGGCTGCGGGAGCCACAACATGGCGACGGCGGTGGCGGCGGGGCTGCGGCTCCGGGGCGGAGCGGGGGCGGGAGCCGGGCTGGCGGCGGGACCTGGCTGGGGCCTCGGCGGGCGGCGGCGGGGGGGCGGGCGGAAGGCGACTCGGACCTGGGCGCCGGCCCAGGGCGAGCGGCCGCGGGCTGCCCCGGCTCGGCCCGGCCTCCCGCCCGGGGTGCGCGGCGCGGCGCGGCCCCGACGGCGGCGCGCGCAGGGTGGACCCCGGCCCCGCCGCCCGCCGCCCCGCGGCCGCTCCCTGCGACCCAGGCCGCGGGCCCCCGGGCGCCCGGCGCGGAGGGCGCTGGGCGGGGACGCGCTCTGCCCGAGGTCGCGGGTCCGGCGCTTAGTAGGTGCGCCCCGAACGCTTGGTGTTGCTGGGTGCGGGGACGGGCACTCTGACGGGTAGCCCCTGGGGTGACCGTGAGTCCCGCGGAGGACCGAGTTGCAGCACTGGCTTCGGGTGCCTCCCCGGGGGCACTGGGAGCTCGGGGCCGTTGAGGAAGCTCTGACTGCGCGGTGAGAACTCGCAGAGGCGGGGGCGGAGGCGGGGCGGGGGGCGGCGGGGCCTGCAGAGAAGCCAGCGTACCTGGAGACAGGCGGCAGTAGGGGGCAGCCGGGTCGGGCGGAGGAGCACGGAGAGGAGGCCCTAGTGGCTGGCCGTGGAGAACCAGGAAAGAGATGCCAATTTGCAAGAGGGGTGGAACTCAGTCTCAGCCAGGGCCTGCTGTGTGCCAGGCACCAAGCTGAGTTGAGTGCTTGGGTGAGGAGTGTGCGGTGGGGAAGCAGTGACGGCTGTAAAGGGTGATGGTTCTTTCCAGAAGTTTGGCAGTGAGAGGGAGAGAAAAGTAGGCCTGTAGCTCAAGGGGGAGTAAGATTAAAGGAGAGAGGAGATTTTTTTTTCTTTCATACTGAACCCTGCCTGTTTCCATGGATCAGCTGCCTGGATGACCCCCCCCCCCCCCCCCCCCCCCCCCCCCGCCAAAGTCATCCATAGACCTGCTGGGTCACTGTCCTTTAAAACTTGAGTGGCTCAAACCCCCATTCCACTTAAAGTGGAAAACCCAGCATACCTGCCAGTATTTCCAAACATTCATGGGGGAACTTACATTTCTCCTAATTATCACTAGCCCCAATTTCCTATTTCCAAAAAATATTCTTGTGCTTTTAGGAAATTGTCACTGTGCACTGGACACCACCCCATTTATGCTCTTCCAAAATACAGCACCGTTTGTGGAAACAAGCAAAATGTCCAATGTTATATGATTATTAAATAAATTATAGTTCGTTTATAAGCATTAAAAATCGTGTTGAAGAGAAAGATTAAGGACATGAGAAATACTTGTAGTTAAAAAGCACATAAGATGATATAATACCAGATTATAATATATAAATATGTGTCACATAGGTAAAAAATGGGATTTTTATTTTCTTCCGTGACTTCTGTATTTTCTTATTTTTACAGTATATTAATATGTCCCTCGAGATCAGGAAAAATGACATTTTAAAGTAAATTTTTAAAGTACTTTTAAGAAAGGTGTTTTTTAAAACATTTGTGGAGTTCAAAAGAAAGATATATTAGGAAGCAGGAAAGAAAATTGCAAATGAATGTTTGAAGGATGGATGGGACTTTGGCAAGCAGAGATGGGTTAACTAAGGAGGCTGCCCTAGGGAGAAGGAACAGTGCAATCAAGGACACAGAATGAGACGGAGTGTGCGGGGAACAGCAAGAGGCCAGTTTGGTTGGAGCACAGGATTTGGTGGGAGGAGAGGAGGCATATCAGTGTGGAAAGGAAGGGAGGGCTGTGGTCCTGAGTGCCAGGCTGAACTCTGTAATTTGTCTGTTGGGAAGAACCACTGGGGCTTAAACTGTGCAGGTGATAAATTTTAAAGGAAATTTTCCTGTAACCTCTTGCTTCATGAAGTTCTAGATCTCAGCCCTTCCATCTTAATAATCTGTGGACATTTGATTGACTCAGAGGAATGAAGTGGGGGCAACAGTTTTTGCATTCCAGCTGTTTACATAATGAGAATTGGCTCTTGCTTCTCTGGTTGCTAATTACTACAATTTTTATTCACAGCAGAGTTTCAGAACAAATTAGCAAAGAGCAAAAATGAAAGGAAAAAGAAATGTGCACCTTAAACCGGTGCTTTGCAAACTGTTTTTTTTTTTTTTTTTTTACAACTTTCTACGAGTTCGGCTTTTTTTAGACTCCGTTTGTAAGTGAGATCATACAGTATTTTTCTTTCTCTGACTTATTTCACTTAGCATAATGCCCTCGAGATCCATCCATGTTGTTGAAAATGGCAGGATTTTCTTCTTTTTTATGGCTGAATAACATTCTTTGGAAACTCTTTTTTTTTTAAAAGATTAGCCCTCAGCTAACATCTGCCATCAATCCTCCACTTTTTGCTGAGGAAGACTGGCCCTGAGCTAACGTCTATGCCCATCTTCCTCTACTTTATACATGGGACGCCTACCACAGCATGGCTTGCCAAGTGGTGCCATGTCTGTACCCGGGATCCAAACCAGCAAACCCTGGGCCACTGAAGCGGAACGTGCACACTTAACCGCTGCACCACCGGGCCGGCCCCTGAAAACTTTTTTGACTGTGACCCTCCATAAGAAATATATTCCACATCTCAACCCAGAATGTAAACACACATGCACAGATACATGCACCTCTGAGACAAATGTTTGGTAAAATGCTACCCTTATTTTATGCAATGCTGGCTGATATTTTCAACTTTATTATTCTTTTATTTCTTTTTAAAGACTGATCAGGACCTGCCGCCTTGATTTTATGACCCACTATAGAGTTACAAAATACCTTGAAGGACATTGAAAAGAGGCTAGACTATTCCCGACTGTGTTTGCAGTTCTCATTTGAGTAGCCATCCAGGCTGTGACCTGAAGTTTGCCATGTTTACATGTCCCAGGAATCAACAGAACAGGCAGGACTTTCTCAGGATACAGTGGGGGAGGGGATGGAAGGATTGGCAGGAGTCATGTTTGGGTTCCTCTTCCCTTCTCAGTAAATATTTCCTGATATCAGTATTTCTCAGGAGCCGTACATGTTTTCTTCTTCATCTAGCTTGAGATACAGACTGAACTTCAAACAGGGCTAGACTACCGCCTGCGAACCAGAGACGACTTTTCATTTGAGTGAACAGAATCATGGACTAAAATAAAAGGGACTATATCTTGATTGTGACAGCACATAGGAGACATCCAACACTGTTGGAGTATTCTGGGGACAGTAAGTACCATCCCTTTCTTATAAGTTTGGAGCCAATGAAAATATCAACTTTAGGGGCTGGCCCCATGGCCGAGTGGTTAAGTTCTCACGCTCCGCTGCAGGAGGCCCAGTGTTTCATTGGTTCGAATCCTGGGCGCAGACATGGCACTGCTCATCAAGCCACGCTGAGGCAGCATCCCACATGCCACAACTAGAAGGACCCACAACGAAGAATATACAACTATGTACCAGGGGGCTTTGGGGAGAAAAAGGAAAAAAATAAAATCTTTTTTAAAAAAAAAATCAACTTTATTACCAATAAAGCTGAACTGAAGAATGTGGCTTGGATGATAACTGATAGGCTTTTCAATATTCCCTGAACTAAAATTATCTCCCCCAAACCTTCAACCTCCCCCTTGCAGAGGCCTGGCAACCTTATCCATGTCTGATTAGGGAAAATGACACTCTCTGGGGGCACACAGATCCAAATTCACCAGTTAGGTAAGTTGCTCCTTCTGGAAGAACCAGGACAAATTCTCCCATTCCTGCCATCCTATAAAAACAAAGAGATTAGGGAATAAGGATTTATCCTTGCCAAAACAAATTGGATTTGATCCACTAGTTGTTCAGCTAATTAGAAAAGTATGCTAAAGCAGTGAGTGACCCCCCGCCCCCAAAAATGGCAAATACACACCTTAACATTTCATTTTCACTTAAAATCTAAGGGACACCCACTTGTCCATCTTTTGATGTGAGGCCAAACCTTTTCTTTGAGCAAAAATGCTGATTAGAGTTCTTGAGCTGTCTTTCTTACATAAATTATATCCATGATGTATTTCCTCTGCTTTCCAATTTGTTTCTTTAAAGTTGACTAAGGACTTAAAACTTCTTGCAAAGCAGTATGTGTAGAGGCTCTTTCTTTAAAAAAAAAAAAAAATCCTTTGTAATCGTCTCATCCACATCTAGTTTGACAGTAATTTTCAGCGGGTCTTTAGCTAATATTTCCAAAGCATTCAACTAACATTTCATAGAAACAGCTCTTCCTCTTCATGCTTAAGTTTCAACAGTTTATGTAATTTTAATTTAATTCATTATACTCTGGCAAACAGCTGTCATAAGCAGGTTTGGGACCAACAGAACAAATTCTTGTTGGGCATCTAACTTAACTGGTAGAAAGAAGTGTGTAGGTAGTCCAGAGATGAACTCACTAGTCCAAAGCATTCTGCAGGCCAGCAGTAGTAGTCAATATGTTTATTTGGAGGGGATAGAAAGCATTGTTTTAAAGGGTACATTAAAAGGAGGGCCATTAATGCTCATAGACTAGTATGACCAACTCTGTGCATATATCTTAATATTCTTTCATCATTTATCCATTTTATAAATGTTTGTTGATATTCAGGACAGTGCCAGGCACTAGGCCATGCCCTGAAGAAGCATAGCTCACAGAAGAGGAAGAAACTGACATATAAACAGGATGAAGAGGCTGGATGGAGAAGAAGGAATTTGGGGAGTATATCCCTTTACCTTCTCTCTATCCTATCCCCTCAAATCACTGTTCCTCCAATTCCATTTAACTAAAAATGGCTTTAAATGGCTAAGGATTGGTATGGCTATCAAAGAATTTCAAATGGTAATACCACTTACTACATTAGCAAAATATATATATCTTATGTACTTTCCAATGCTAATGAGATGATGAAAGCCGAGGCAATGTGAATTGGTATAATCCTTTTAAAAAGCAATTTGACAGTACTTCTGGAGAAACTTAATAGAGATGTGACTCCCTTTGACTCATCAATACCACTCCTAGAAACTTTTCCTTAAGAAATAATCCTCCCCAAAACAGAATGGCCACAGGAACAACAATATTTACTATAGCCTTATTTGTGATAGTGAAAGTTTGAAACATATAAGTGATTAAGTAACTTATGGTACGCAACATTGTGTAACTCACCATTGAGTATGCAGACAATGGAGTAAGGTGGAAAACATTTGATTACACATTAAATGAAAAAAGATACAATTTGCTCAACTATATCAAGAACCCCTGAATTTGTATACTTAAAAGGGTGAATTTTGTGAAACGTGCCTCAATTTTTAAAAAAAGATACAATTCTGTATTTTTGCTTTTGTATCAGCCAAGATCAGCAGGAAACAGATGGCCAGCTCAAAATGTGTAACTAAAGACAGTTAATGAGGGGACAGTGTACAAAGATGTGGGCAGGGTTGAGGGAAACAAGCAAGGGAGAGTGAAGCACCCCACGGTTAGCATCTGTTGAGAAGCCATTATCAACCATAGGCCTGAGGGGGCAAAGAGATGGAGCCCGTGCTCAGTGAGAGCAATAGCTGAAGGAGAGGGAGGGCCAACAGGAACTTAGAGGAATACAGCCCTACCTCTCTCTCTTGCCCTCAGATCTCCTGTGGTACCTCCCACTGGCTGAACCCAAGAGGAAGGCTAAGGGCAGGTGAGCCCAAATGACACTGTCCTTGAAGGTCAGCCTCTGGAGAAAGGTGGTGAGTGGATCTGCAGGGACAAAGGCAGAATATCTAGCAGGTATGTGATCATATAAAAATGTGAGAACTAAAAAAAAAAAAAGAAAGAAAGAAAAAAAAAATGTGAGAACTGTGTAAGCCTATGGCCAGAGACCTTAAGGGAACCTAGAAAACCAGAGTTTCTAGAGATAAAAAGTGGAGGGAGGTAGAGAGCAGGTAGGATAGGTCAAGGAGGCAGGAAAGATTGTTAACTCAGACTGAGACAAGAATAAGAGCCAGAAGTGAGAACACTTTATTGTTTGGTCAAATGCTTAGCTGGAGTCTGAGCTCTGGGAGAGATTAATAGGAGGTACAGAAGCTAAATTAGACTGGAACATTGGAAATTCTTCACCTATTGGCTATTACCCTGTATTTCTCCTTCCTAGCTAAACTTCATGCCTTCAACAAATAATTGTTTAGTACCTATCATACGCCGGGAACTGTTAGGCCCTGGGGATTGAGGAGGGAACAAAGTTAATATCTTGCTCTCCTGGAGTTCACATCCTGCGGCAGGGTCGGGGTCGGGGGGAGGGAACAGACAGAAAACAATAGATAAGTAAATATGTCAAGGTGACAAGCACTGTAAAGAAAAGCACAGGAGAGCGGGGAAATAAAATTCTGCCCATTCTACCTCTTAAAAACTTCTTGATTTAGACCACACGTGCCCCCACACACCAGAGCTCCTGAGTAAATTAGGCCTTCAGACCTCTCACCCGGACCAAGGTCATACTATCCTGATTGATCTTCCTGCCTCCAGCACCCTCCAACCCATCCTCCACCCTACTGTGAGAATCTTCCGGAAACAAATCATGTTTCTTCAAACAAAAATTCTCCAAAGCTCGTTTGCTTATAATGTGGAATAATGTCTAACTTCCATATCGTGGACCTTTTCTTATCTTCTGGGTCGATCACTTGTCTTCCCCTTTCTGATTCTCCTTTTGTGCCAACACGAATTGTCTGTAGTCTGTTGATCGTGCCTCACTGTCTCTCATTTCTGTACCTTTTCCCATGCTGCTCTTTCCACTTGGAATGCCCTCCCAGACCCTACACCTCCTCCCGAATTTGGCAATCCTCTCCTTATTCTTCTACACCCATTAACTGCCACCACTTTGGTCAGCCTTCTGACCTTCCCAGTTATGAGGGGGGATCTTCCAGCTCCCTCCTTTGTGTTATCAGCGTATCTTCTCAGTACCTCAATGTATTTACCATATGATATCACCTTATTTCTCGGGCCTTGGGTGTACAGGACTGGGTTCAACATAATCCGTGGGTCAGGAGCCTACATTCATTGGTTCATGTGTGGTTCTCTTTTGTTATTTATCATCCACCCTAAAAACTAGAATTGACAACTTACACATATCCCCCCCCCACCAAGTGCTTAATCTTGTGTGTATCACTTTCTTGCTCTTACAAATATTTTTATCTAAACAAATTTTATTAAAAATAAGAAATTAATTTTTAAAATTTCCCTAGCTTTATAAAAATTTAGAGTTAAAAAGTCTTACATTTTTAAAAAAGTTGAGGTTGATGGGCCGGCCCAGTGGTGCAGAAGTTAAGTTTTCACGTTTCACTTTGGCAGCCTGGGGTTCCCTGGTTTGGATCCCAGGTGCAGACCTAGGCATCACTTGTCAAGCCATGCTGTGGCAGGCGTCCAACATATGAAATAAAGGAAGGTAGGCAAGGATGTTAGCTCAGGGCCAGTCTTCCTCAGAAAAAAAGAGGAGGATTGGCAATGGATGTTAGCTCAGGGCTAATCTTCATTAAAAAAAAATTTTTTTTAACAAAATAAAAACTTAAAATTAAAAAAATAAAAAGTTGAGGTTGAATGTGTATATGTGTATTCATTAGTTATACATATTTCCTCTTTAGTTATCTGTTCATATCTTTCCCCATTTTTCTATTCATTATTCTTTTCTCATTAATTTTCAGGATTGCTTTATACGTTGTTTTAATAATCCTTTGCAGGTTTTTTTCTTGGAATTCAAGTACACAGAAAAAATTTTTTAGTGGGCTGGCCCATTGCCTCAGTGGTTAAGTGTGCGATTCCACTTTGGTGGCCTGGGGTTCACCGGTTCAGATCCCAGGTGTGGACATGGCACCACTTGTCAAGCCATGCTATGGTAGACGTCCCACATATAAAGTAGAGGAGGATGGTCACGGATGTTAGCTCAGGGCCAGTCTTCTTCAGCAAAAAGAGGAGGATTGGTGGCAGCTGTTAGCTAGGGCTAATCTTCCTCAAAAAAAATTTTTTTTTAGTTCAGTGTTTATTTGTATGCATGTGTGTGTGTGTGAACATACATACATATTCCCAAAACACCTATTGTTAACTTTAGTTGTTTTCTTTGTTAAAAGAGTATTATTCCCTATATAATATCCTGGGACTTCTTTTTCGCTTTTCATGTCATGTTGCTAAGATTTGTCTCAGGCTTGTTGCATGCAGCTGAGTTTGTTTATTGTGGCTGCTGTGACTATTCCGAGGTGTGAGTATGCTAATATCACTTTGTCCTTGGCAGCAAAAGCTCTTGGTGCCCTATGTTCTTCCCCTTGGGCCCCCTCTGTTTCAGAGAGGGAGAGTCCTTATGGCTGGACTAATAATAAAATTGACATAAGACCAGGTTAACAGGAGGAAAAAAAGCAATTTAATATGCGCACATGGGTGATCATAGACACGTGATGTTCTCTGAGTGAACAAAGCAGGCAGTTTGTATATCTTTTTGCATAAAGAAACAATACATTTCTGAAGAAATTACAGGACAAAGAAACTTCAGTTTGGGGTACATAATTAGTGAGGAATTTAAACAGAGTTTAGGCTTGAGGTAGTAAATTAGTAAAAGTGACAAGGTTTGCTTGTGCAGCTTCTCAGCTCTGACTTCCCTGGCTCTGGTGACAAGGATGCAGGGAGAGCATCTTTCACAGGGGAGATTCATTTCTTTAAGGGGGAACAGAGAGAGGAGAGTCAGAGTGGCCTTTTTGTTTCTCAAGAAACTTTAGTTCAAAATAATCAATGTGCCGTTGTGGGATATTTTGAGGTGGCCTGCCCTGGCCCCCAACATCTGATTTTAGCCAAATATGTGTTGATCATTTTCATGGGAGCTCCCAGTTACTGACAATTCCCAGTGCAAGTGCCAGGCCTGGGGCCTCTCTAGTTTGTTTCAGGACCTTCTAGAAAGCCACAAAAGCCTTCTCAGCCCTTTCCCAGGCACAGCCTGAAAGTAAAGAGAGTTAACCCTCAAGTAGTGGGGCAATAGGATCCAAGAGATAAATGCCCCAGGCTCCCATCCTTCAGGGGGACAATTCTGGGAGGCATTTTGTACATTTCTCAGAGGTCTCCATGGAACCATGCTCCCTACGTCGACTTTTCCTCCTACTCTTCCTCACTATTCCCCTCTTCTTCACCCCTGCTGCCTGAGATCATTTCCCAAATAGGCAACCTGCACCCAAGTCCTCATGCCAGTCTCTGCTTTTAGGGAACTCCAACTAACACACCCAATTTCCTAATAATGAGCATTTGGATTGCTGCAGGTTTTTGCTATTGCAAAAGTGCTACTAAGAATATTCATATAGGGGCCTGACCGGCGGCACAGCAATTAAGTTCACACGTGGTTCAGATCCTGGGCGCAGACCTACGTGCTGCTCATCAAGCCATGCTGTGGCAGGCGTCCCACATATAAAGTAGAGGGAGATGGGCACAGATGTTAGCTCAGGGCCAATCTTCCTCAAAAAATAATTGAAAAAAGAATATTCATATAAAAACTACTGGTGCACAAGTGCAAGAATTTCCCTTGTGTATTTATAGAGGAGAAGAATTGCTGTGTCAAAGGCTAAGTGAACTTTCACCTCTACAAGAGAATTCCTAACTGTTTACCAAAGTGGTTTGTACTGATTTACAGTTTCAACAACGTTCTATATGAGATCCTCTCCAACACTTGGTATTGTCGGATTTCTTAATTTTCGTCACTCAAATAGATATGAGATGGGATCTCATTGTGGTCTCAGTTTGCACCTCTTGATGATTAGTGAGGTTGACCACGTCTTCATATTATTTATTGACCACAAATGTTTCATCATCTAGGAAATGTCTATTCATAGCTTTTGCCCATTTTTCTGTCAGTTGATTGTCCTTTCCTCATTAATTTTACTAATTCTGTGACACTTATGGTTTGTCCCCCTTGGAACTCAGGAGCTGAGAATTGAATTAATCACAATCTTCGCCTGATAATCACTTTTTTGCTGGTTACAAAAGTAATTGTTGTAAAAGAAACATGTAAAGAATACAGACACGTTTGACTCAGAAAGGGAAGGTCTCCTTTACCCCACCTCCAAGTGGGAATAACTCTCACGAATAGTTTGTCATTTCATATTTTGGGGATTTTGTTTTCACGTCTCTGTCTCTAATTAGACTGATAGTTTCTCAAGCGTAAGGGCTGTGTTGCATCCATCTTTGTATTCTCAGCCCCCCCGCCCCCCCCATCGTGCCTAGTTAGGTCAGGAATGTAATACATTGTTGCTGAATGCACTGCTAAAAGGCAAGTTAGAAGGAAGTTTTGAAGTTACTAGGAGACTTCAGTTGGAGTGGAACAGAGGATTCAAGCAGTAGAAAAATGGGAGATAGTAATGGTAAAATGTGCTGGGGCTTGATTACTGAAAAGTCTTGGCCGTTGGGCCAAAGCGTCTGATTTTTATCTTGGAGGCTGCCAGCCAGGGAGGCGTTCAAGGCTTTTTAGGTGGAGAGAGGTTATTTGTTCTTACATTTTTTAACAATGACAGAATTAAAACAAAACATTGACAATCTAGTTATCTAATGGCTATGTACAGGATGTAAGGGGGAGGAGGTTGGCGAAAATGAAACCGAAGACAGAAAAATGAATGAATCAAGAAGTTATTAACTTTTTCTGGACACAGACTCCTACAAAAAACTTATGAAAACTATACCTTCTTTCAGAAAAATAGACATAAACTCAAGCCCATGCACTTTTTAAGAACCCTTAGGTTCGCGGGTTATGCTCCAAGTGAGAGAATAAG